TGCATAAAATCTATCAGTATTATTACTTATTATTGCATCCCACATGATTTTGATTAATTAGTATATCGGCAGCCCCAACGTTATGTGCCATAGAAATGGGGTGAAAAAAATTTCGAGAATATTTGGGTTTGGGGCCAAAATATGAAGTCAAATTAAATTGACTTACTATCGGTAGTCACATTTTTACAAATGCGCCGTAACGGTAATGAAAAAAATGAAAAAAATTTTGATCGATCACCATCTCTAGTCACACAAATCACACGTAACTGGGATTTATAACAATAAAATCTAAAATCACATAAATAAGCAATGCTTTCACCCGTACTGTCCCCACAACTTGAAACTCAAGAGATAGGATACAGTAGTTTTAACGAAATTGACGAGCTCAATGAGCTTAGCGATATCGATGATGCAATACAATCGACCGTACTTCCAGTTTCTCAAAAATCCTTTACTGGTCGTAGTATCAATAAGCCACCTTCAAGTGGCGAAGAGTATTTACGTATGGTTCAACTAGAAGCTAATAAAATCCCAAATATTTTTGTTGCCAATAAACCTATCCAGAATAACAATATTACAATTAGTTGTAAATCGAATCAGGTCAAAATTGCTGGATGGGCTAAAAGAGGTTGGGCGAATAGTCAAAGTGTTTCGGTCGAAGAGCAAGATAAAAAAAATAGAGAAATTGGTTTAATTAATGAAGAATGGGAAAACGCGTTTTTAAGCAGATTTGAAAACTTGAAAGAGGTTTGTATATTATATCTAATATACATGTTGTATGTTAAATTGATCAAAATTTAAAACCTAAGGTAAGAGTAGGTATTAGTGGCATTATACAGCCCCCAATCTGGTTATGAAATGAATTTTCATATGTTAAAATTATATCAAAACTCCCTCATATATATCAACTTAAATATATTCTCTCATTAATATCATATCAACATGAATATAAAAGCGATCCAAATAGGTCGATATTAATGAGGGACGACTGTAGTTATTTTGATCTGATAATTTGATGTACAACATATATATATATCTTTTATAATGTATTAAATTTTTTTTCCTCCAACTAAACAATTATTACCAAAATAAGGAGTTACAACGATACATTATCAAAACTTCAAAAGGGACTAACCCATTATTAAATAAAACATTATTTCCACCAGTCGATATACCAAATAAACAAGATGAAGCTGGGTGGTTAAAATTTTGTTATGGATTAGAAATGTTGAGTCATGAACCATTAGTAACAAAAGTCTCGGAAAATAAAGAAAATGAAATTTATGAAACGGCTGCGATGATGCTACCTTTTTTAAGTATAATATCTCGATTAGATCAGGTTTGAAATGCAATCGTATATACTGTATATACTGTATATGATTATTATTTAAACTATTCTCAATATTTTTTTATAATCTGCAGCCTACAACAATTGCTTTACTTTTTTATCATATCAAATGGTTAGACAGTGGAATTACAATTACAAAATGTCAATGGCTTTTTGCATTGTTCGTAAAAGTTGATAAACTTGTGACTCCAAATCAAATGGCGATTCTTAGGAGTGTTTGTAGGAAATGTATTGATATTAGACAAAATCTCGATATGGTAAATTCATCCTCCTTCTGCTAATTATATTCATAATATATTATATTAATATCTATTTTTTTTTGTTAGTTGGATGTAGAAGATCCGATATTGGCCACTTTGAATATGATTATTACCATTGTGAGAAGATACTTTGGGCAAAGAGATTTGGGATAAATTATAATGAACATTATTACAAATATATTTAATCAGACCAATACAGTATTTGCTCAATACTTAATAAGGCCACGCCTGGATATCGATTTAAATTTTTGCGTTTTACATAAGAAATCCTCTACATTCAACCCCTAAATACAGCTTCAAACTCTGGTTCAAATATATGTTTGATATTGTTCTCTAAATGCATTTGGGGTCTTACTATATTTACAATTTGTGAACTGCACTGGGAATATGAAGCAGCAGAAGCTTCGTATTGGTAATTATCCGGTAGTTACTATTGATCATATTACCCATATTAATACTATATCACGGTATATCAATATTTATTTAATGCCCAGATATTGAGTTCGGAGTGATCCGGAAATCTTTTTTTGATTATATATATATATATTTTTGCTTTTGTATCTTGGACTTTATATTATTCGTTTGAGTTGCCAGAAAGTCGCTGGCCATAAAAAAAAATAAAATAAAAGCCTTGTGGTTAATAAACTAATGAAATACATTGTTTTAAATAAAAAACTATAAACCGTGGAATAAAAGATTTAGCGTTATGGATTAATATGCCTGATAACTATTAATTATAATAAATAGTGAAACAGATAATTTATATAGTATATTTATTTTTTAAAAAAATATTTTACTAATTTAAATTATTAGTATGTAAATATAGTAGATTTTGTCTCTGAAATTAATTTTGGATTATCTGTTATATAAACATTTTCAAAAAAAAACCTTTAATACCCTGATACACGCTAATTAACTAGACAAACTAATCTATTCTGCTTCTTTTGGCATAATGATTTATATTTACTATTTGTCTATGATAATTTAAAGGAGAATAGATATACTTCGTTTTTAATCACTATTAATTTATTATTAATTATTCACACCTGTTCACACCCATTGTCTTTAAGTATAATCACATTGTTATACATTATCATTTCATCATCCTCATGTTCAGGAATGTCAAGTGGCTCAGATGGACATATTTTAAGCTGCATCAAAAAAATATTAATCGTTGCAAATATTAAATATAGTTATGTTATTTCATCACTAACCTTTAATTCAAAAATTGAACTGACTGGTTTATGATCACTTAACATTATGTCCATATGGCTCTTATACGTCAATTGTCTACACCAGTCGTTTTCCTTACTCCTCCATAATATTCTATCTGTCCATGAGGGCGTTCTTCTCTTTTCACTTATTATAGAAAGCAATTTTATTAATATCTCTTATTATAAATAAGACAGTAATATTTTGTAATAGTTACCTGGTATCAAATATATTTGTTCCAAAATCATATTTATAAGTCGGTGAGAATGTTATTTCACCCTCTTCAAATTCATAAAACGCTTGCTTATTTTTTCTTTGTATATTAAGCTAGTGTAATTATATTATAAAAAGTTATCATATTGTCTAAGGAATACTTTCGAAGATGAAATGCTCGTTCCAGCATACCTGATCGAAGTTTAGTAATAATTCCATATCACCTTTTTCTAATAGTGATTTGACCGCTGATTCTGGCAAAGTATCGATGCGATAATTTAAATCACCCATCCAGATTAAATGACTAATAATATTAATTTCAGGAAATTTTGAAAAAAACTCATTTCATTTGATTATTATTAAATAAATAAATAAATTAATATTCACTCGTTATCAAATATTGACATTACAGCCCCAGCACCGACAATATCCGTGGACGGATCATTTAGCGCATTTACGCCCGGAATAAACATCCCTCCCATTCCAACAACAGCGGCTGCTGCATACCTAGCGGAAGGAGGTATATAATCGCCAACCCAACCATACAGTGTGGAGTATCCTTCGTTTGTGTCATAAGGAAAAGTCAGCCGTCTACATATTTCCATGTAATCTTGATTTCTCCTTTCTAGCCCATTCGGATTTGCCGCCAAATGACAATTCACAAAGCACAAGTATGAATCATGAAAACGAAATCTTATGGCTACACCACCCTTATTACCCTAAGAAAATTGGGCATGGTTATCATAATTTATATATTGCCTTGGGAGAGACACACATATCGTATTTTGCAGAATAAAATGCCCTTTTAAGCATATTACCTTACTTTCCTTATTGAGAATTTTAATATAAAAAACTTGGGTACAATGCATAATTCATAATTCAAGATACTAAAAAAGCATTCAAGTATTATAATCAGACAGAAGGCCACATGATTAAACATGAATTGGCAACTATTTGATTATTAGTACTCTAGTATAGTACCCTAGACTCAATAGAGTAACGCACAATCCGATCATCTATCATTGTATCTGGATACAAAATATATTATAATGCCTGGGCTTTATTCCGCAAAATACACCTGAATAGCTCTCCAAACTTTGGTGCTTGCCTATAAAATTTCATACCATCATGCCCATCAACCCTACACCAGCACTATCGCCTCGAATATCTTTGATGTATGGATGGTACTCTTTCTTAACCAAAACCATCAGAATTATCCCAACCAATCTTTTAGACATTATCTATATAAATTTTCAAACTAATTTTAAAGTTAGAACCAGATTATTGTAAATAAACATAATTAATCAATTTTAAAACCTGCCTTCCAATAATTTCCGGCTTTATCGCCTAATGCTCTTAATACAGCATCACTCCACTCTTCCTCTCTAATATTATCATTCAATAAAAATGCTTCTGCACTAAGGTCTACCTCCTGAAAGCTAATTAATTGATTTCAATCATCATTTGATATTAATTAATTAATTAATTTTTAACCTTAAAACTCACCCTATCGCATAAACGTCAATGTCATGCTCACATTCAAGCCACGGTGAAAGAGACTCTGACGCGTCTTGTCCGCTTACGTTGAACGTGCCAGCAAACACACTATAAATTAAAGGAAATATAATATTATTTTTTTCTATGGTCACATAATAGAAACACTAAAAAAACCGGGTTTCCGATGCCCCGTCCTATCCAAAGTTGAAATGGAACAGCTTACCGGATAGTTCGTGAGTCTCCGTACTCCGATGAGCTCGAAAGGCTTGTAGGCTTCTCTGAAAGTTCCGTCATGGTTTATGATATGTACATAACGAAATCCTCCCTGAAAGCTGGAAACGGGAAATAGCAAGCAAAAAAATAAATAAATTAAATATGTATTATATACATATATATACTGTATATATGCAATTATTATACCAGACTAAAATTGGTTATCACGATTAGCCGTGTTAATCGTTAATTCAGCCATAATTTTAGCCCATGGCAAACATAATTCAGCTCGAAACTATTGAACAATTTTATAATTTTCAATCCTTAATAATACAATTTAGTAGAAGTGTCCAGCTTAGGCTTTCCCAAATTCAGAAATTAGAGGGTCGTACGTAGTTTAATTGCTGATAAATATCGATATAGCCCCAAATTAGAGCTTAATTAGATTTTAAAGCTATAACGATAACGACAAAAATATTTTTTACTTTTATTAAAACGCATCTATGGTGTTTTACGCCATGTATACCAGAATACATATAAAAAAAAAAGGACGATTTTAACGCTCGCCAGAGGTGAAATTCACCAGGGTGCTGTCAGGGAGTCTCATGAAAACTGAAATCGGGACCTTATATCTAATCTACATTATGCTACATAAAACTCCTCTTTTATCCTAAAACTGCACCCTGACCTTATATCTAATCTACATTATGCTACATAAAACTCCTCTTTTATCCTAAAACTGCACCCTAACCCTTAAAAAAAATTTTTTTTTTTGGTATATTTTAGTATATAAGTTATTAGGTTTATTTGTAGAAATTTTACTATATACTTTTTATTTAGACTTGTTACTTATCTACTTATCTATATATACTTATATATTTACTTATTTACTTATCTACTTTATACGTATATATTATATATATATTGTATATACATACGTGTCTATTTATTGTGGCAGCTTATAATGAAATCGGATTAAAATGAAACTGGGCCTTTTTTTTGTGTAACTTATTACACAATTTCCCGTATAACATGTCACGGGATTTTTCGTGTGACAAGTCACGGGATTTCCCGTGACATGTCACACGAAAAATCCCGTGACATGTCACGCGCAAATTTCACGGGAT